GATTTGAACATTTGTTACAACAAATACCTATCATACTACAATCTTCCACTTTTAAAAGAACCTCAAACTATACAATCTTTCTACTCTCATCTTGACAATTATGCCTCACATCTAAAAAAATATGCCATGATTTCACTAACCAAAGATAAAAAAGAAGCACATATTTACCTACCTCACAATACAAAACTTCTACCAAATCACATACTCCCTCTATCATGGGATACATACAATATACCACTTAAGTCATATACAAATCCTATACCAACTCCATTACCAACAAACAAAGAAACAAACAACAACTCAAATGGACCTAATTCCACAATTGAACACACCTCTCTTACTATTAAAATAGGTTCCCTAAATATTAACGGTTTATTACAATCAAACAAAAAACTGGCACTTACCGAAATGCTCAATGTTCAAGCTCTCGACATTCTAGGTCTCTCAGAAACACATCTCTCTACTCAAGAAACTAAATACTTTAAAATACAAAACCCCAACTACTCTAGCTTTTGGAGTTCTTTTCAAGAATCACATCAAGCTGGTTCTCCACATCAAATCATTTAATTTATAAATTCTGCAATCTTAAAGATTTTAATAATACTTTTAAAATGGAAATGGAATGGATTCCTATTAATATTTCTCAAGCTAATAGTCAAAATAGAATTAATATTAACAATGATAATGTTAATAAAATATTAAAATATTCATCTATATCAAAAAATAATAGTAATCCTTTACAATATTTAAAAAAAAAAAGAAATTTATTTGAAAAACCAGAAACAAAAAATTTTAATGATAATAACCAAAATGAAGATATATTTGATAATTTAGAAAAAAAAGTTGATGGTATAGTCAATAAAGAACTTAAAGATAATAATAGAACTATTGATAAATATGTATATTTCAATTTAAAAAAACAGATACAAAAATTAATTTTTGTGAATCTGACCATTCTTTATGTAAAGATTCTGATGATGATGAATTTATTCCTGGAGATAAATTTATTTCTAAAGGCAAATGATAAAAGTAAATATTAAAAAATCTAAAATAGAAAAGAAAAGAAAGAAAAAGAAAAAAGATTAACAAAAAAGGAACAATTGAAAAGAGAAGTTAAAGATCTTCTTGATAATTCTGAAGATTTTTTCAAATGAAAATCTGATACATCAAGAACACCATGAAATAGTAGAAATAATATACAAAAAAAAAATAATAATAACAGTGATAATGATATTGAAATTGATGAATACGAAGATGAAAATTTAAATGATATTTTGAAAAAAGAAAAAAAGAATGATATTGATAATGATTTTATGTTTGATATAGAAGAAGTTCGAGATAAAAAAAACAAAACTATTATTAAAGAAATTCAAGATGAATTAGGTAATAATGATGAAAAAATTAGTAAATGCGTTAAACTTAAAAATATTAAAAAGGTTAGTTATGGCAGATTAGCATTTAATAATGTTAGTGAAATCGAACTTATTGAATATAATTAAATATTTTTTTATTTAAATTTTTATTTATTATTATTATTTTTTTATAAATATGTATTAAATATATTTATTTTTTTTTTTGATGTTAAGGTGAGGTTTTGCCTTTATCTTTATTATTAATTTGTTTTTGGGCAACTACGAGAGTTGATACAGGCCAGAGCCAATTTACAAATTTTTTACAAGAATGAGACTCAGACTATAAACAAAATTATTATCTAATTTTATC